CTGTGATTTCCATCTGAGTGGGTGGGGAAGGAGACACACAGTTAACATACCCTGCTGCTGTCTAGCTTTCTCTGTTCACCCTCAACCTATAAAATAACCAGGAAAACGATTCTTACCACAACATAGGCACGAAGGGGATATGAACGGGAAATCGAATCCTTCTTCCTCTGTCTGTGCACCTGCTTCCTTCTTCACCAGATACTGTCATATGGTTTGGTTGTGATTACAAATGCCACATTCTTTTTTTTTTTACAATTCTTTTTTAAAAATTTGTTTTAATTAGTTACACATGACAGTACAATGATTTTGATATATCATACATTTGAATCAGATGGGGTACAATTTCTCATTTTTCTGAGTGTACAGGTTGCAGAATCACATTGGTCATGCAGTCACGTATATACCCACAGCAATAATAATGTCTATTTTATTCTGCTGTCCTTCCATTCCCCCCTCCTCTCCCCTCCCCTCCCCTCCCTTCACTTCTCTTTACCCAATCTAATGTGACACACTTTTTTTTTTTTTACAAATGCCACATTCTTAATTCCAGAGAGAGTAAGTTGGCTTTTAACTCCTGYATTGTCAAATAGCCAATTAAATAAGATTTTTAAAWTTTAAAACAATGTTCAGGTGTTTAGATAAAATATCTGTCAACATGTCATACTGGCACATCTGTTGAGTACATTTAACAGAAACTAAATTATAAGGTGGTTAGGACAGCAGATTTGGAATCAGCTGACAAACAAGGTAGGATACTCAAGGAAGCTCTAGAGTCTTCATTACTTATCTTTTCAGCTTTGAAAAAAGACAGGTATAATTCAGACAGTTCCTTTCATATTTTGAAAGGAGCTCTTAACGTATCAATTTTAGTAAATCTATATCTATATCCCTAAAGACTTTGCAGCTGTACTTATCAACATCTGGAAGCAGTATTGAGTAAAACCACATGCTTGGTTATTAGTTTTAAAYATTTTTTTTGGAAGGAATATTTTGTAAATTCAAGGGAGGCTGCAAACAGTTACTAGAAAAATACATTTTTCAATATATCATAAAGTCTGAGTTATTACTGAGTCTGATTCTCAAAACTTTCAACTCTAGGGCAATTGAGAGCTTTGAAAAAAATTATTAGCAAGAATGCAAATAGATTAGAAGACCCAAATCTACAATTGTACTTAGTGAAAGGTTTCCTTCCTTCCTTCTTTTCTCCCCCTACTTTCTAAACTTTCAGCAGCCATATAACATGTACTCCAAAGGATGAGATTGATTGAGTCTTTGACCAGTAAGAAGAATGAAAAAAATTCTATGGATAAGCAGAAGACGATACCTGGGGGTATAGTCTATATTCTATATAGTCTAGTTCTATATGTTGAGAAGAATGGGAGTAGAAAATGGGAAAAGAGAGACAGGAAGGAGGAAAAAGAGAAAACATACCTCAGAGGAAAGACAATACCAGCAGAAGAGGCAGATGCTGATAGACAGGAGCTGAGAAAAGAGTGGTAAGAAATACACAGTGCAGAACTGCAATATTCATAAACGCCCAAATTCACTATATTATTAATTAAAAATGTGTCTATTGAGCAAATACTATGTGCTTGCCCTAGAAAAATCCTGAACGATTCAAAGATGAATAAATACATCTCTGTCTCTGTGCTCCAGGTGCTCTTTGGTGGTGTGTAGGGGAGTATGGGCATATGTATGCGATGTGTTTGTGACGTTCTGTATGCATGTAAACAATATAGTAGGAGCACAAAAAAGGAGTCATTTTTACTTAGGTAGCGAGTGGAGGAAGGAAGACTAGAAAGGGTTCCATGTAAGAAGCAACACTTGAATTTAGCCTTGAAGCTTACATACTTCTTACAATTTCTGGTAGAGTTCAATGGAAATATTTAAAATAATAATTAATAATCTTACTAGCCTCAATAAAAAGTGATCATAATTGGTATGTTAGCCGTCTAGGTTTCTGTGTTCAATGCGACTCGTGTATACCTTAAGACTTAACTCAGTGATGTGATCTACTTTGAACCCTTCTTTGATCACCGTGGTCTTAAAGTGTTCTTATATGAATGACCATATTATCTTGGGTTGTATGTAGTCTGTGAGCTGCTCTTAGATTATACTGCTTTCCACCACACAGTTTTCCCTACTACTGGATTTTAAGTTCCTAAGCATCCTTAAAGCACTTCTATTGTGTATTGTGGCATAAATAATTGAACTAGTATTTGTGAAATTAGTGAATATATATGGGAAGACTCTTATCATAAATGTTGTAAGGATTATCTCATTATCTGGAAAAATGCAATACTCATATCTGGGCCCTTCTGTACCACAGAATTTTGAGTGGTGTATTTAGGATACAATCCAGCCTGTCCCAAGGACTACTTTATCTTTCTGTTGATAGTTAAGTACATTTATATGCTAGGGAAGAAGAGTGTAGGAATTGTCTTTGGATCAGGCATGCATTCAGAAAAATATTTCCTGTGATYGGGAAATAGCAATTTGGAGGGATTGTGATATAGTGCTAGCCTTTGCTACTCAAGAGACCTTATTAGAGAGAATGAAAATAACTTAAAATGGTATGGAATACACCTGAGAAGGTTGTTTCAGTGCTATACCATCTTAGGAGGAAAATTCCACACTCTTTTCCTATCTTTGAAGTCTGTACCCACGCTAGGTTTTGTTCTTTAAGGCTGTAATTCTTCTTATTGGCTACACATCTGAACCCTTAGTTCTCACCCTAAATCCACTGAATCAGAATTTCTGAGCCTAGGACATGGGAATCTGTGTTTGTATGAAATTCTCTAAGCAATTTGGTTGATGAACCAAGCCAGTGAGTTTCTGGTAAATTACATGTCAACTGTATTAAGTATATGATATTAATTCTAAAACACAGGGTTGTAAGACGGTCTGTTTCCTCATTAAACTCATCCCTCAGTCAGTCAATGTTGATTAATGGGAGAACATCTAAAGACCTGAGGTTTAAACTTCTGTTTTTATTATGGGGTCCATATTTTCACCAATATTGTGGAGTACTAGAGTTCACTCTCTTAGAAGTTCATCTTACCTGTCCCATAAATTTTCTGTGGGTGCAGAGATTTGTTTTTTTTCTAGTAATTCAAAGTGCAGGTCAGGATGATTGTGAGAACTACTCACTCAGCAAATGGAAAGAGTTATGGCATTTGAATGCAAACTATTATTGTTGCCATCATCTCTGCCTACTAATTACCTGAACACCAGTTTATCCACTAAACTTCAACTTTTAAATTGAGATTTTGAGGAATTTATAATCTTATCTGTATAGTAATATTTTTAAAAATTTATCTTTTAATGTTTACATGGTCAAATGTACCAAATACAGTATTGTAATGTATGATGATTAGATAACACATATAAAGAGCGATCCTTTCTGGACCAGTCTCCAGGTCTTTGGGAAGGATTGAGGAGGAATAACAGAAAATCTACACATAAAACTATGAAGCAATTTTAATTAATAAAAGAAGACCCCAAGTCTTATAAAATAAAGTGCCTTTGAAGATTAATGTTGGCTAAATGCAATTTAAGAATTATATTAACAAATAATGGAAATAAGGAAAAATTAAATTTGAAAAGTTTCATATTAAACAAAAAAATACAAGACTTCAATTTAGGATTTACAGCAGAAGTATAAGTTTCCCAACTAAGAGAAAAATAGAAGAGATTCCTTCCTCCCAAGAATCTGATAATGTATTAATAATCAACCCAATAATAGTTTAAATTTTTACAAAAAACCTGAAAAGTACAAATTACCCCGATATTCAGATAATATTCAGAAATCATATTGAAATAAATTCATTGGGACTTTAATGGGTGGTTAAATCACAGCTGGATTCATTAAAACATTTTAGACATTATAAGAAGATTGCACTGGTCTTTTCCAAGATGTTAGTATCTCAGAAGCACTTGCATAAAGAAGTATTGCTGATCACCAGATGTAATAAAACTGAGTTATTCTAAAAATTTTAGAATACTCTTAGGATTACTATCCTGGTACTTACAAAGATGCTACAGCTGTATTTCTCCACAATGAAATCCTTGCATAAGAGAAAGATCCCAAATCATGACCGATAGAAATTATTCAAGACATATTATTACACCAAGAAATAGAAATAAAATTATTCTTGCCAAATTGTAGAGGAATACCATTAATTCGATATGACATTGTCTCTCTGTGTCAAAAATTAGGCATTATCTGTGGGTTTGCTGTTTCCGAGCATGATGAGGTTTAATAAGTAAGATGTTGAAATATGTTTGACCAGCAGAACTCCACCATGAGCTAGAAATTAGTTGATGTATGTACAACATTAATCGAATGATGGTTGTTTCATTATGCTTACTTAAAAGGGAAACAATTAAAATTCAGAACTATTAAAGTAGTAAAGAAATTCACATTCACTGTTCAAAAAGCCAGATATAGTAATACCTTTTAAGTTGTAATATTTTATTTTCCTGGTGCATGTGTGTATATGAATATTATTGGCCTGCATATTATTTTTATATGATTATACGTCATATCCATACAAAGATATAAACAAACCCAAAATACCTAGCTAATAAGACATGGTTACTAAATAATAAATGCTTTTTACAGATTTGAAAAGTCTGCTGTTGTTGAGTATTTTAGCAAGAACTAGATTTTTAAAGCTTGAAAATTCTAGCTATCCATTCTGAAATGACATGTCTCATGATTTTACTCCTTGTCACTTATTTCATTTAAGTAAGCTTAACTTTTGTTGAGCCCTCTATAAGAAGAAAATAGAAGATGGTATCAGGATTCTCCTTCAGCTGMTAGAGATCATGGTGTGGTTAGCAAGACCAGAGCCCAGGATACTTGGATGGAGAGATGGGTTTGCTGGACTACACACTAGGAAGAGTGGATTATTTACCTTAATTCTAGTGGGCGAGAGTCGTACCATCAGAAGACCTAGAAAAAGGGAAAACGTAAATCTCTTAACATGCAGTCCCATTCAGAAGCATTTCCTATGGACAATAGGAGGACCAGCTTCATCATATTCTTGCTTACTGATCCACATCTGCTGGAATGTGGACAGGCTGGCCAGGATGGAGCCCCCAATCCAAACAGAATACTTCCGTTCTGGGGGAGCTATGATCTTGATTTTCATGGTGCTGGGTGCCAGGCTGTGATCTTCTGCATCCTGTCAGTGATGCCTGGATAAATGGTGGAGCCACCAGACAGCACAGTGTTGGCATAGAGATCCTTACGGATGTCCACATCACATTTCATGATAGAGTTGAAGGTTGTTTCATGGATCCCACTGGACTCAATGCCCAGAAAGGAAGGCTGGAAAATGGCTTCAGGGCACCGAAAGCGTTCATTCCCAATGGTGATCACCTGCCCATCAGGAAGCTCATAGCTTCTTTCAAGCGAAGAAGATGCAGCTGCACTGACCATCTCCTGCTCAAAGTCCAGGGCCACATAGCACAGCTTCTCTTTGACATCCCGCACAATCTCCCGCTCGGCTGTCGTGGTGAAGTTATAGCCTCTTTCTGTCAGGATCTTCATGAGGAAATCAGTCAGGTCTCTACCTGCCAGATCCAGGCGTAGAATGGCATGGGGAAGGGCATAACCTTCATAGATGGGCACAGTGTGAGTCACCCCGTCCCCAGAATCCATCACGATACCTGTGGTCCGTCCYGAGGCATAGAGGGACAGCACGGCTTGGATAGCCACATACATGGCAGGTGTGTTGAAGGCCTCGAACATGATCTGAGTCATCTTTTCCCGGTTGATCTTGGGGTTGAGGGGTGCCTCAGTGAGAAGAATGGGATGCTCATCTGGAGCCACGCGGAGCTCATTGTAGAAGGTGTGGTACCAGATCTTTTCCATATCGTCCCAGTTGGTGACTACTCCATGCTCAATAGGATACTTCAGAGTCAGGATGCCTCTCTTGCTCTGGGCCTCATCTCCCACATAGCAGTCCTTCTGGCCCATGCCTACCATAACCCCCTGGTGCCGGGGACGCCCTACCATGGAGGGGAACACAGCCCGGGGGGCATCGTCACCCCCAAAGCCTGCCTTGCACATCCCTGATCCATTATCCACCACCAAGGCAGACAACTCGTCATCAATCATGGTATAGGATAGAATCTCTCAGATGGACGAGCACAAGTTAAATATAGAGTAAATACTAGACTGTGGTATGCAAGAGAAAGAAGGAAGAGTCCTAAGACACTCCAGAATGGCTTTCAAAGAGGGAAGCCTGCCCTGCCCTCAGAGGTATTTAAAGGAATACCMCACCCACATCCTCTCCCACCAGTTCCCAGCATTTCTGGGTGGAGTCACCTTCAGGTATTTAATAACAATGACAACTAAAGAAATCATTAATAGTCCTTCCTTCATAAGGAGAAAATTGGTTACCAAAGAGGCCAAATCTCAGGTCACTGTAATTAGGCAACCCACACACCGTTGTGAACCTGCTTGGCGAGGTCTCTAGATAACTATGTGATGTCATAGGAGATCTAAAAGCAAGATCAAAGGAGCTAGTGGTGGGCATGGCTAACACTTTCRGAAGGACCACTCCCCCCCTCGGTTTGCCCTCTGGGTTCATTTTTTTCTATATGAGCTTTAACTGTTCCATCTTAGCCTATTGTTTTTATGAAAGTTCTGACTCTGCAATCTTTACTTTTAAAATATTTTTTCCCCACAAGATTTCCAAGTTCACAAGTTGTCATCATAATGGAAGCTGTTTTAATGAATGAAAATAATGAGTGGCCAAGGGTGTCATGATAGCTGTAATTATAAATGCATATACTGATACCATGCAAAATGTAGAGATATTTAATAGACTTCTAATCTATCAGAGACCAAGTAAAAGTGATAGAGTAATCAATAAATTAAACCACTATAGATTTTTTTCTGATGTGAATTTCTGATAGCCAAATTTCATTAAGCACTTATCATACCTAGACATTGTTCATAGACCTGGGTTTATTCAGTGCATGTTAACTGCATAGAGGTCCAATGCCAACTTTTTGGGATGATTTATTAATTAGAATGAAAATTATAAAAATTTTATTTGCAATCACTCAATTTGTATAAAGAACAAAATTAAATGATAAATTTGAAAACGACACATTTAAATCATAATTAAAATATTTTAACCTACCTAATATATATGCTTATTATAACACCAAATTTCTCTGTAGTTATTATAACATCAAACCTCTCTGTTATTAAAGTCTACATGAGTGAAATGGTATTACTTTCTTTCCATTGTCATTTAAAGAACAGTTTATTTTGATATTATGTTTAATATAGAAATATGGACAACCAGGAGAGATATGTACCATTATAAAATGTAGGACATTAGCAATGTGTTTCACAAAAGCAACAATTAAGAAAGCTTATTACTTCTGTTCCTATATGTGTTAGATAAATAGGATATAATCTGTTAGTTCTTCTAAAGTAAAATGACCTTCCTTATCCATGTCTGAGTTCTCCAAAGTTACATTTTTTGGTTTATTCATTCATTTGCCTAACAAAGCTCACTTTACAAGTGGTTTTACTGAGCAGAAATATTCCCTCCAGTTCAAAGCCAGGAGAACTAGCTTCTGCCTTTGCCCAAGAGCCTGTTAGAAAGTTAGGGTAACACCATACTATGAGTGCTCAGCCCTTGCTTTGGCTTCAGTTTGCTATAGAATGATTTTTCTTTGGGTTTATCCAGTGCTGCAATGTGCCCTCAAAACCTTCTTGTTGAAAATCAGTCATGAAGAATGTGTGTTTCACCACAAGACTCATTCATGGTTTTGCGTTGGGTCCCACCAGGACTAATTAACCTCTCTCTTACTATTTTTTGTTAACTGAAAAATTTCTCCTTCAACAGGGTTAACCTGAATGGTTTTATAAACTTCCTTTTCATGTAGTGCAACCAAGCTTTTGAGTAAAATAATATTTTATTGCTCTAGGATGGTACTTCTGGGGATTTTTTTTCCTTTTAACCCTGTAACAAACTACATGTACATCCTACCAAATGGAAAATAAAATATGCATTGTATTAAGCACAGATTCCCATTTATGATTGCACTAGTCTGGAGTATAAAACAGAACCATGTCAGTGGAGGATCCAATACAGTACTAGGCACAGTCTTACGTCCTAGATTTACTAGAACACTGTCCAGAGATTTGCCTTTAAACTGAGGGCCAGAACCTAGTACAGTGAGCATTACTGATGCCTTTCAAGTGTGGCTGATGTGTGACTTTTGTAGATGATCTGTTGGCTTTTGTTTTAGTGTTAATGTTCAGAGAAATTGTCATCATTATATATTCTTAAAACAAACTCTTTTACCTAACTCCCCATAATACAAGAGGGCACATAATAATTAAATAATCATTTAAAAAGGTCATCTCATGGGTTGGTTATGTTTTTTAAAAAATAGTAAGAATTTGTGTGAGTGAAACAGAAAAATGGGTTAATGAATGCTGGGCTGGGGGTGGGGGTGGGGGGAGGGAATGCTGTTCTTGGAGGGGCCAGATTTTCTAATTGAGTAGAATTTATAGCTGTTTAGGTTTACCTAAACCTTGAGGAGTCTTTATGCTTAACTTCCGAAACTCTCCAGAATCTTATATTCTTTTACATTTCACCTAGTTCAACTAAGATGCAGATATAAACAAAGTAAAACAAAACAAAAATGAGAGTAAGGCATGGGTATGGCATCACACCCCAGGATGCTGGGCCTAGGTGACTGGAGGGCAGGGCCATTGTGCTCATCGTTTTGCCTTTGAAGAGCAACCTTGGACTTTTTTATTCAGCCCACAGACATTTATTAAGCTTCTCCCATGTGCTGGGCATGGGTGTTATACTGATGAATAAAACATAGCCCCTATTTTTGAAGTGTATTGTCTTATGGGTTAAAGTCACCTCCCTCTAGGCTGACAGATGGCACCTTGACACTGGTATGGAGCAGCTGGCTTGTGTTCTGACAGGGCATTTCCACTGATGGTCAGTTGTCAACATTTTGAATGTCACTCTCAGATACACAGATCATGAGTAGGGAGGCATGAAGATGGAGGGAAGGGCCCTTGAACCTGAGGTCAGGGCAAGGGAAAAGAGGTCCAGGGAAGATGTCCCTTGGGCTCAGTCTCAAAGGGTGGACAGGAGGCTGTCCATCAGTCAGTGGAGGCAATACTGCAGGCATAGGTACCACCAACAGGTAAAATCAGAGGATCAAGTGTGTATTTGGAATGAGGGCTGTACACAAGGGTCAGCAATGGTTTAGAGGCTGAGAACAAGCACTTGGATCTTCACAGGCTAGAGGGAGCGAGTGGAATTCCAAGACTGCATGTCGCATTCTCTCAAGCTTACATGAGGTCTGACTAGAGTCTCTTTCCAGTGGCCCAAGGAGGCTGCGTCGTGGTGATTATCTCCTACCCAGACTCTCTTAAACAACACTGATGAGACTGGGAATTTTAATGAGTTTCCTTTTGGCCACCACCAATTTAGAACATTGAGGTCAGCTACCTTCCTCTTTGGTCCTCACCTGGTTTCGCCCACACTCTCTTTCCTTCTGTCCTTGATCAGTTTCCCAGAAGTTTACCTCTGCCAATGTGTTGATAGCTCAGAGTCTCCTTTAACTGGACTCCGCTGTTTGTACAGATTGATAACATGTTTGATAAACAGACACAGGCATAGGTGGTTAGTGTGATTTTTCTCATTATACATTAATCTATTCACTAATAGAGATAGCCAACCATTTTTATTTCTTTTCCTACATATTTTATCGATGTATTATAGTTGTACATAATGATGTAATTTGCTGTTACATATTCACATATGCACACAATGTAACAATTTAATTTGGCCAATATCACTCCCTAGCACTTCCCTTCTTCCTCCCTATCTCCCACCCCCGTGGTCCCTTTCCTGTCCTGATCTCCCTTTGATTTTCATGAGATTCACCCTCACCTTTTTTTCCCCTTTTTCCTCTCCAGTTTCTACATATAAGAGAAAACATATGACCCTTGGACTTCTGAATTTGACTTATGTTGCTGAACATAATGGTCTCTGGTTCCATCTGTTTTCCTTCAAATGACATAATTTTATTTTTCATTATTAGTCAACCACTTTTAAAAGTTAAAAGCTCATTTATTTTGTGGCTAAATGCTATCTAATATTTATATTTCATAGTGATAAAATGATTTAGTCATGATATCTTAAAAACTGTAAATATTCACTCCAGAGAAGTCTCTAACATGTGTCTTTAAAACTTTCTTTTGGTCAGGCGTGGTGCCACATACCTGTAACCCCATCAGGTGGGGAGGCAGAGGCAGGATGATCATAAGTTCAAAGCCAACCTCAGCAACTAAGTGGGGCCCTAAGTAAGAACCTGTCTCAAAATTAAAAAATAAATAAAAAGAAAAGAACAGAATGTAGCTCAGTGGTTAAGTACCCCTGGGTTCAGTCCCTGGTACCAAAAACAAACAAATAAACAATCCAAAAAATAAAATAAAATAAAATATACACACACACACATACACACAAATACACACACACAATCTTTCTTACAAAGAATAAATCTATGACTAATAATTACTAATGAAGTTTATAGTGAAATTTCCRATTATTTGTCTTAATATGTAAAATTTTGTAAAAAAAAAAAAAAAGAAAGGAAGTAGTATGAAAACATTTAAAATGAAATGCAAACTTCCTCAAAGAAGACCTGKCTGACCTATTTACTGTGGCAAGGATGGGCCAGAGGGAGGAGGTACCTCTTGACCACTTCCCGGATGTACTTATAATAAAGCTCTGAGCACAAGAATCATTTTCCTGGTGCTGACGACAACAGCTCGCAGCCCCAGCCTGAGCTAGCCCATGCTCTGAGAATAAGACCAGCTTTTACTCCTCAGGGCATCAGGGCCAGAAATGAACTTTATGGTACTTTTTCCTTACTCTAACTTAAAAATACTATTTAAAAAAATATATTTCTATATTTAAATAAAAACTTAAAATATATTTAAATATTTTAAAAAATATATTTCAGCCATAGATTTGTAAGCAGAATTGTTAAGAGGAAGAATAGATTCCTGTGTGTATAAGATGAATCTTCAAATGTATATATTGATTCTAAGGAAAAGGA